CACACACACACACACACACACACACACACACGCGCTGCAGAGAGCAGAGAACGTCTCCCCGCAGATTATCATACAATGTGATGTTTTAACGTCATAGCTGCAGAAGAAGAAACGCTCTGCTGATCCAGGAACATTAACTCGTGAGGTTATTATAAAGAACAGCTCTTCTTGTGAGTGATTAGAAAAGAGCAGAGGAACAGAAGCACTTAAGCGCATTGTGTTTCACTTCAAACTTCTACTTCCACTTTTTTAAGTCTTCCTCACTAAGTATAAGTAACTCATACGAGACAGTTTGCTTCTCTTAAAGAAATGACCGGTGCAAATGTGTTTCTCATCTCTTGCATATATTTCTTCTGAGCTTGTTTTTCCTGGTTGATCAGGTTTGAATGTTACTCAGTCCCATGGAATTTGTTATTTCAGGTGGAAAGCAACTACAAGAGAGAAGAGAAGGAAGAGTATGATAGCGAGAGAGAAGACTCACCCAGCGAGGACGTGACACTATCGCCCTACGTCCTGCACAACGGCAGCTACAAGACTCACAACGACGAGGACGTGGACAGCACCAAGTGACTGTTACAACATAACTGAAGCGAATCCTGTTGCATCAAGTGATGTCATCACCACCCACTGTGTGTATACATACAGAAACACTGGATAACCACTTACAGCGGCGTGTGCGTGCGTGTGTGTGTGTGTGTGCGTGTGGAATTGAACTGGATTGCATGATATTGTATATTCTGCAGTGTCCTCCACCAGTTCGTTCACTGCTTGAAGAACTCAAGCATTTCTATTGTTTCTATGTAGATACGAAAGCTCGAGGCACCTGCACCAGCAGTTTAGAGACAGGCCTGAACCAGCTCCTCATCACAATCTGTAACCGCAGGATTCACAATGTCTCCCCACACTCGACTTCCAGAGCTTTCTCAGAAAAGCCATTTCAAAGAAAGTCACGGAGGAACCGAGCGGCAGTCCCACAGGAAGAACGGAGTTTGTACTTTTTTTTTTGTCCGGCAACTGGGTTTTAACCTCACACTTGTCCCTGTCATGGATATTTTAAAAAGACCAAAACGTTTCTCTCCATTCCTGCACGGACATCAAGAGCTACCACCATGATAATCCAAAAAGCCTTTTTCAAGCCTCAAAGATTGTCATCAGTCCTGTCACACTGTGTGTGTGTCGCATGTATGACATTTATTTCAAAATGATGAATATTGCACACTGCCATCTGCATTAACAGTAAGACGATGTTTATGTTGAAGTTTTATTTATTTGAGATCAGTGTTCAAAGCCGAAAAGTGACACATTTTATTTGTGCTCTACTGTAAGTGCAGTTGCAAACACAAAAATACACAAGGCTTGGACTGGCAGCTATTCTGGATTTCAAGCTTCGCAAACTTTCTCAGGCAGCGTTTAATTTTAGAATTTTTAAATTCTACGACAATTAGAAACCATAATAAAACCTAATCATTCTGTGAAACCAGTCTGCATCTGGTTCTGTATGACAACAACTTCTTTTTTTACTCAACTAAATTATAAATGGTAACGTTTGATGTTATAGGTTTCTGACCCCCCATCCTGTCATTGTATGTGTCTCACAGCCCCCTGTCAAATTGTAAGTTCCTTATATGGTCTTTCATATATCAGTGTTTTCAGAGAGAGAGGCTGTCCAGTCACATAGTTATTGGAAAATAATAATACTAATTATTATATAATCCAGGACGTACCAACGAGGTTCCTTTACCAACTAAACCAGCTCCTTTTATCAGCCAGCTGAATTTTTTTTAAATATAACTAACGTTTGTTTGTTTTGACGGCGAGGTACAAAGAAGTTTCCCTGTGTCTGTCTGAGGCCTCAAGCGTAGTTCTTCTTCTGCTGCTGTGGTTTTCTGAAAGTGTCAGCAACTCTTTCATTGAGTGAGACAAATGGTGCGTTACATGTTCTTTGATCAAAGAATATAACAAGCGTAAGAACATAAAAACTTTGGCTAATAACTTGTGTCGATGCTGAAGTGCTCACTTCCCTTCTGTTTAATGACTTTGTGAAAGAATCCTTTATTCCCTCCATCATCTGTGAACTGGGGCGTCCTCTCCGATTATGTGTTGATTTTACGACTTTGAAGTGCTGTAATTATAAGAACGCAGAGTGAACTGTTTCTGTGAACCGGTCTCTTAAAAAACGATGGTTATAGATCAACTTTTCACTTTGTCAAAACATAAACGCTTTGCTTTATTTCCTGTTTTTGTTTCATGAGTGAACATGTTTGTGCTTTTTCAATATTTCTCATTACTGGTAGTTGCAACAAGATCTCATCATCTCATGCTCCTTTTCCTGTTGTTATTGTGACGGTGTTTTATAGTTACAATTCAGGCCTGTACTGTAAAAGTATGTTGTCGTGCAGAATGTGTGTTGGCTCCAGAAAAGTCGTCGCTGATGCTGAATCCACTCACTGGTGTTTTACACGAGACACGTCACAGCTCAACATCACGCTCACAAGCACAGAAAGGTCAAAAAGTGCCTCGAACATAGATTGTACAGAATATTCTAATAGACTATGGAGACTTATTGACAGATGCAACCTGAATTTATTGTTCTGGATGTTGAATTGCTAAAGTGAGATGTTATATATGAAAGTATTGTCTGTAGTATTTAATGGCAGAAGAATCTGAAGCTATGGTGGATTTATTTTGACATTTCTTTGTCATTTTGGTGTTAACAAAGCCAGTATTTAATAACGTGTCAAAAGAGTCAGTAAACTGGCCCCACATGGAGAGTAGTTTTTACATACACTTGTCATTCTATGAAAGAACTTTTAAAAGGAGACGTAAATACTTTCTGAACATCTTTGCCAAATTCTCCGTCTTTACTGCTTTTACCAAGATTTCCCCCCCCTGCTTTTCTTGTTTATAGACGAGGCTTCAATTTGAATTGGTGAACATGTGATGAAGTTAAGTAAAGAGCTTTTCCAACAAAACTGACAGTATGTGAAGAGGTTTATTTTTGTATATCAGTGTATCCACCACATTGAGCATATACTGTAGAAACATGACTTTCTCCTGCGGGACTGGCCGCTCGATGTAAAGATTTGGTAACACTGTTTTTTTTTTTTGAAGAGCTTGAATGTATCTGATCGTCCTCAGTTTGAAACTAACAATATATTCATTCTGTTTCCAACACACCACTCATTAAAAGAGACTTTTCATTCAGATGTTTTGCTTCAGTTTGTCAAGTGTCTGTGGTCGGTATCTAAATGTCTGCAGCCCCAAATGAAAATCTGAATTGAGTGTTATATAGTGTATGATGTCTGGCTCAGGGAAGAACCCATTTCATTTTGGTGCACATATGATTGGAGGGCACATCCAGGAAAGGTTTTTCACTTTCTTGAACATTTTCATTGATTTGAGAACCGTGTGTGAATCTTGATGAGAACATTCCGACATGCTTAAGGGGGTTGGTATCAATTCTGTGTGGATTCAAATAAAAAACTGGATCTAGTGGATATAAATGTTCTTTCTTAGGGGTGTGGTTTTTTAAGCCATAGCTGAGAAATGTACTGTGGCCTTAGACATACTTAAGGGGTTAACATGGAGCGCTCTAATCCCAAGTAACATCAGAGTCTATTGGATTTAAATGTTGTTTCATGGGACACTATGTAGCTGACAAATGTGGCCTCAGAGGCTTGTTCGAATTTAAGGGGACTGATGTGCCTTGGCGGAGGTATGCGCCCTATGTGCCATTCTAAATCCATCCATGCTTTGTAACCATAGTGATTGTAGGGATGGTTATGTTGGGCTGAAGATGGTCAGTCCAGACTTCCAGGGGCTAAATATTTTAGGCCCTATGAAAAAACCTAAACCACCCACAAGCCTGGAAAACCCATCTGATGACCAGTACTTTAATATAATGCATCATGAGTTATTCACATTAACCAGAGGATATTTGGTAGAGTATTTTCAGCAATGTATAAAATGTAATAAGCAGAGACGATGTGCATGGACAAATAGTGCACGATCATAAAATAAAAGTACAGATAGTAGAGGAAGGAGGAGATTTTTTTTAATCCTTACTGTACAACTCATTGTCTGACTCTTGACTGTTAATTGACTCTGACATTCATTGCCAAAAGTAAATTGTTAGAAATCTCCTTGTCGTCCACCGTTGAGCTGGAACTTAATTGTCCAACATGGTCCAATCTTAACCTCAACACAGTCGTGTCCTGTCGATCAGTCTCCGAGGCCTGGGCGAGGGCTGTGTTCGCCGGCCTGCCCTGAGGCATCCGCTGCTGAAACATCTCCATTGTTGTGTAGTCACTTGAAAAGGCACAAGGGGGACTGTGGAAGTAGGAGCATGTGTCCGTAGTGTCGTCAGGTTCGATATCTTCAGCTGGTTGCTCTTCGATGTCACTTTGGACCCAGGAACAAGTCATTTCTGGTGATTGTCCCTCGTCTTCTGAGTTGTGGTGAAGCACTGATGCTAATGTGTTAGGAGGGAGCAAAGCTTCTTTCTCTACTATCTGAAGAATGTCTGTGGACTCTTCTACATTCAATTTCATGGACTCTAGTTCCTGAGTGGAATAAAAACAGAATCCATCAGTAAACAATCTTTAATATATTCATTTCAGAAACATACTGTTTACAGTATTATAGAATAACACTGGTAAAAGTATAACTGGTGATACATTTTATAGACTTACCATTTCACTGGATTTTCCTATTTTCTGCAATGCATCGCTGTTTCCAGGGTTCGGTATGCTCGGCCACAGAATGACTTTACCTCTATATGAAGTAGATACCGTAGGTAGAGAGGCACAGAGTAGTTTTAAAGTAGATCTGTATCTGCCAATGTGAAGAATTGCTGAGTTTGTGCAGATTTTGAGATATTTAATGTACCTTTTTATTATTATTGATGCAAACAGCACAGAAGTTACAACAGCAATGGGAATGATGAAACCATTTACATAAGAATAAAAATATCCTGTGGAAAGAAAAACATGGCGGAAGTTACACGATTAGTAAAGACGTATCTTTGGAAAAAAAATCTGACATTTTCTTTAAAAAGTCTGAAAAGTTGTCATTGATGTGACCTTTACTGGTTTTAAAGTTGTGCGCTCTGCTTCGTACTCCTGCTCCTGCCCGGGTGAAGCCTGATATCTGGACCTGGTATGATGTGTCTTCTTCCAGATCCCCCAATTCACAGTTGTCAGACTGTGGATCCACTGTGATATCTGCAAAGAGTGACACCAATGACAGCCAGTGGCCAGAGGCATGTTTCCTCATTGTCCTGCTGTCCTGTTCTTGTGAACACGATCTCTTGAGAACGCTTTGAAGGATTTTCATCCAATTTGGCACAAATATTCAGTTCGACTCACTGATTGACTGATTTGATTTCGGTGTTCAAAGATTAAGATAACGGTGGCTTCATCAACCATGTTTCTGGCCTCCTGAACATGGTATCTAAAGTCAGCCTTCAGGGAGTTTCTCCAAACTTTGATCAGTTATCACTTGAACTCAAAGATGACCTGATTAGATCTCAGCAGTCAAAGGTCACAGTGTATGTAGACTGAAACAGCACTGGTTGGCTGAGGCATAAAGACTGACAGTATTGTGTTTATTTATCGTATTTAGGTTAGTTAGTTTGTTAGTTAGAAGAAGAAGAAGATATACTTTTATTGTCACGTTTAACACTTTTATATGCATACATGAAATTGTTCTCCGCATTGAACCCATCCAGTTGGCACCTGGATGAAACACACATTGACAGACGCCATGTACACACATCGTTAGTTTAAGGTGTATGTGACTCACTTCTCTCTGTACTCGTCCCCCCGTGGTGGGACTCAGTGTAGTGGATCATGTAACCCAGTAGGAAGCCTCTGATGTCGTCCTCCGGGATGGACGACCACTGAAGCATTACTGAATTCATCGTCATGTTGCTGAGGCTGATGTTGGGAGCGCTGACAGGAGCTTTGTAGTCACAATGTCAAGAAGTCAGACTCTTTTGTTATGGACCGGATAAGAAGAAACTCACAGCATTAGCCTAGTAGCTCTGACGTTTATTTTAGTTTGGGGCATTGCTCATGGGAGGAAATAATCTGTTCTTGTGTCTTGTATAGACATTCACTCTGGCACCACCAGCAGGTTGATTTGCTATGAATTCTGACTTTGGCAATCCCCTCACCTTTCATTGCCATCATCCAGGTGAAAAAAAACAATGTCAATTTTTCCAATACTTTGGTTTCTCTTGGTTTTCTTTATGATGAACATTACAGCCTTTGATGGTTTGGTGACTTTATACAATTAATCACAGAGAGAATGGAAAGAGAACAGAGACTGTGTCTTACATCCTTCGGTGAAGTAGAACTGTGTTGTCCCATAGGTGCTCTCACTCTTGTTGATATACTTGATGTTGCAAGTGTCCTTGTTTGGTCGTGTGTGCAGAGTGAGGCTGTATCTCTTGAAAGGCTCCAGAGGCTCTCCTTATTTAAGAGGAAGCAAATGAATGAGCTCAGACACATAAAAACGAAATACTTTGAATCACACATCAATAGCAGCTCTGTCTCATATCATCTTATATATTTCATCATATGATATGTTCCTCTCCATGTCTGTTAGTTTGCAGGATTACCACCAAACGTGATAGAAGGATTTCGCTCATTGAAGAACCCATTTAATTGTTGTTGTGGATCTAGGATTTAGTTTTTTCAGGGTGTTTTTAAACATTTTCCTTGATTTCTCACAGAATTATCTGTGAATCTATTTGGGAGCTTGTTATCGATGAGCTCGTGCAATTTAGTGCGGATCCAAATAAAAATCTTGATCTAATGGATTCAAATGTGGTTTCAGGAGTGTAGGCCTGTTCAGCCACTATACAGTAACGGATATTGCTAGAAACCTGTAATAACCACCAATGTGTAGCTGAGAAATATAATATCACAAATCCCATCATGTCTATACAGACTGCATGTTGCAGCTGAACACCCCTCACCTCACCCTCTCCTTCCAAACATGAAAAAAAATCTAAATCTTACACACTGGACCTTTAATGAAGGGGTTGCAGTGTTGATTAGAATTTGAAAAAGACAACAGAGATTTAAAGCCAGAGGCAATTAACTTAACCAAAGTAATCTTGTCATCTAATCCTGTGGGGTTCAGGATGTGAACCCTCATCTATACAAAAATATTCCACCTCCTTAATTTGAAAAAGAAAATGCCACTGAACATAATCAATCCTGTAGCCACGTTTCTGTCACATACCTGGTAATACAAATCACATGTTAATCAGGGCTGACCAAAACATGTTCATATGTACAGACCTTGTAAAGGAGTTAAGGTCCTCCAGTTTTTTGCATTCTGATAAAAGGACATGTACGCTGCTTTATGTCCCTTTGTCCTCCACTCCGCAGAGAAGCACACATAGGTTTTTATGAGATCGTCTTTCCAGAAAACAGTGAAAGAAGTGTTGCTGTGTACGGACACGTTCAGCTTCGCCTCTTCAATACCTGCTGATGCAAACGTTTAATAATTGTAATCTGATTTTATAGCCACAGGCTGTATGTTGATGCTGGTGATATTTCATTTCATTTCTTTTGAAAAGACAGAGCTGTTATGAAAGTGAGTAGACTCACTGTGCAGGTCCTCTCTCCGTTGTATTGTGTGGCTCACTGCTGGGGAGGTGCTGACATTGTTCACAGCGCTGATGTTGAGATGATAAGAGGAGAACGAGAGGATCAGTCTGATCTCAGACCGAGTCGTGGTCATCTGCTCACTCGGAGCTTCTCCTGACGCTTTAGCAATGGTTACATGGTAGCCGTCATACGACTCTGTGGCAGGAAACTAAGAAGCAGGTTCATTTTGTTATCAGTGTCGCATCAGTAATGTGTACACGCATTCACTGGAGAGAAAAAAACGTTTTAATTTTCAAAATTCATTAATTTATTAATTCTGTTTTCATAAACAGAAAAAGAGAAGAAAAAAGTATAAATATCTTCTATTTGTCTGAATCAAAATAAGTACATATTATTATTATCATATTAAATAATCTCAGTAATTCCTTCTCAGGTGAATGCAATATACTTCCTTACTTCAGACTATTCAGTGGATATATTTCTCTTTATATTAGATATATCATATTTTAATTAAGGGAGATTTGTTTATTGTTAAAATCACCTTCCAGTGTAGAGAAAGCAGCCTGCTGCCTCTTTTCTCTGAAATGTCACTGTCTTCAATGTTGACGATGACAGGCTGGTCTGTCAGCTCTGAAAGAGGATGTTTAGTTATTACAAAATAAGGAAGAATATTTCGGACTTTCATCTATAGTGGAATAAGAACTATTTCAAAACAGTATTCTGTTGTCAACTGCGTCTAATTTATTTATCATGATTTACAGCTAACAGAATGGACAGAAATCATTTCTTTTATATTTAGTATATAATAAAGTTGAAACAAACTGACCTGATGGGACAGTGTAGGTCTCACTCCATGGGCACTGGAAGCATTTTTTATTAGTGACACATTGTATTTGTACAGTGTAGAACAGAGAAGAGTTTAGATTCTCCACTGTGCATCCCTCTCTGTTTTGGGATTGAACCGGCAGCTGTGAACAACATAGAAATCAATGAATGGCAGCAGAATCAACTTATTCATTTTTCTTAGGACCAAATATTTAATTCTTAGTCATTGTTGTAACCCTAACCTGAGTACCTCAAATTACCCCGATCGGAGACGGGCTTCAGTACCCATAAGTCACGCTGGTTTCACGATATGGGGCTGTGCTCACAAGGGACCGCCACTTGGTGGCAGGGATACAATCCCCGGAGGCCTACTCAGTCATTACAGCATTTCTCGCTATGAAAGCATGTAGATAGCCATCTTTGCAAAGCACCCCATGCAGACAAAACTGGAACTGAAAGAGCACAGTATGTCCCCTTTAAGGTCCCTCTTCTATATGTTTCAAATTCTAGGGACAGGGGCAGTTATGTAAATGTATGCTGATTAATGCAAATATGCAGATAAAACTAGCGCGGACAGTTTTTCATGGTCACGGTCAGAAGATCTGGGTTTACAGCTATGCTTTGTTAGGGCAAGGAGATCTGGAGGTTTTGGTTTTGGAAGTGGAAACTTCTCCAGATCCAGCTTATCCCCTGTGACATTTTGAAACTTTACAACTTTACAAGATCCCACATTGTCAGCTTCACAGGACATGAAGTTATGGTCCCCAGAAGATGTATCCAGATAAATTCCAGACAATGACAAAATTACAAAACTGTCATCTTTGGTGTTGATTAAGTAATTGTCCATAACCAGTAAATAAAGTATTCTGATGCTAGTATTTAGTGAAGCACGGCTATAGCTATGGTAGCATTATCATAGACGTAGACTTTTTACTTTATTTTATTTCTTGTGAGTCATCAAACTTCACACTAAATAGTTTGTGTATCAAGCAATTTTCAAGGTTCAGTGTGTAGAATTTAGTGACATCTAGTAGTGAAGTTGCATGTTGCAGGTGAATACCCCTCCGCTCACCCTCCCCTTCCAAACGTGAAAGAAAAAATCAAAAGATGTTTAGTTTGTCCAGTCTGGGCTACTCTTAAAAAACATGGCAGCCTCCTTAGAGAGGACCCGCTCCTGATGGAATATAAAGTATTTAAATATAAAGGCCCATTCTAGGGTAAAGAAACAATTTGTACAATTTAGATGAAAAATCACTAGGATTACTTTACATACAATTTCCACAAATAGATCCCTTTCACCTAAAACTGGACCTTTAAAATAATGAAATCTTAATATTAATTTTAATTTCCTTTGTAATTCAATCTATTTGTTAGGTACACAGTACTTGAAGGCAACATTCCCCTGTGAGGGTCAACAGATACGCAGTTCATCGACATAAAGCTATAAATCGACTTCTTAACTGTCTTCTGCACAAGTATTTTGTGTTAACAGGTTTTAAATACTGACCTCAGTCCATAACAGGCTTCCCAGCACCTTATACCTCACAGAGTAATAATTGACGGCCTTTAAGTCTTCCTGTGGCCAGCTCACATTCACATATAGATTTCCCACCTGGCGCCTGAAGGACACTTTATGTGGAGGACCACATCTCGCTGAAACGCACAAAAAATCACCTATGTTGAGATCTGTTAAAGAGTTAAAAACTAATTAAAAGCAATGTGATCATGGGAATACGTCTTTGGGGACCTACACAGGCTCTTCGGTGAACCGCTGAAAACTGCTTTTGTGCATTTCCCTGACTCGCCATTTTCAAAAACGTTGACAGTCATGTTGTTTGCTGCATACACCGTGATGCTCTTAGAGGATTTGGTGATGTTGTTGATTATTTGGCAACGTCTGCTATCTCTAGGAGGGGAAATAGTTAGAAATTAGATGGTTGTCATTACAAATGTGTTAAATATCTGTGTTCTCCCTAGTATTTATAAGCTGCGAAAGAGAAAATATAAAACTTACTGGTTTATGCTGAGTGTGTATATCTTCTCTGGTGTGTGGTTTCCAGGTCTCCACACACACATTATCATTCCAAGAGTATTATATTTACCGAAACAATCTAAACCACGGACTCCATCTGACAGAGAAGCAGTAATACAGTAATAATTAAGATAAAATAAAACTTTTTGTCCTTAAAAATGTCTTTAATGTTTATTGCAGCTGATAACTCAACCTGAGATGGATCAGATACCTGGGTGAAGCACACAGTGCTGATAATTGGAGGTAAAATTCGAGGCGCAGTTCACTGGAACATGATATGAAAATGGTGTGAAACTAGATCAGTTATCTCAGACATTGTTGAATCATTTTTACAAGAATTTGTTGTCTCACAGTAAAACACACCATAGCTTATCAGGATCATACGGGTATTTCTGTTGTGAGAAGAGGCGCTTGATAATATCTTTGTGATTATTTTGTTGCAGAAAATAATGCGATTCTTTTGAGAAAATTATATTTGAGTTTGATGACTCATGACAGAGTCAAAATGTTGTGATAAAAAGAAAAATACCTTTAGCTGCTTGAACATGAGAGGAGAGACAATAAGCAAGAATCAGACCTAGAGGGTGAACAACAATGGAAAGTAGATTTAACCTGTTAATTGGCTGAAAAGTATGAATTATAAAAAAGAAAGAAAGAAAAAACGCTTAATGCAAAATCACAAGTTATGTAGCAGCTTACTTACCGAGGATGAAAACATGTGGATGACAGGAAGAACATCTTGATTCAAAAAAACCAAACTGAAATCCACGAGCAAACATGTCTCACGGGACCGGCTGAAGGACTGAAATCTAGAGAGAGCGCCTGAGGCGATGTCATACCCACAACGTGCTGCCAAACGACATAATGCCATGTGTGAGTGAGGAGGAAATGTTTTTAAGGATTTTTACGCTGAGTGTAGAGGGGCGGGGGCATGTTTTCACACTGTTCAAATAGGAGTGACTTGACTATAGGCTCCCTGGAGTTCGCACTTCTTCTTTCCATAAAAAGAGCTGCTCAGCATATAAGGCGAGTGCATTTCACAATCACAAATTCACTCTGACTTGTAAGAGGGGTTGTATAAACCAGGGGAATGACTGTCAAGTATCAGAGCTCTGAGTTGTTTGAATGGATTATGCTGAAAATTATTCTTCTGAGGTTCGTTGTGAAAAAGTTTTCAAGGTTTTTTTTTTTGCTTTCAAAGAACTGACCTGAGTGACAACTCTCACTGGCGGTATGATTAGCAAATGTTTCAGTTTGAATCAAGAGACAGATTTCTTCATTCATCCGTGTCTGTGGCTGAAAGAGCTTTAGTGGAACTATCATCACAGTAGTGTGAGAACCTGTTTTTCTGTAAACTGAGAACAATCACACTTATATGAAATGCAAGTGGATGCCTTCAAGAAGTACACA